CTCTTCATCCATTCATCCAAATTAGGCCTTAACATGCTTGAATTGCATGAATTATGCTCTCTAAAGCCATCATTATTACCTAAAGCTCAATGAACTGAAAGATAAACACAAAAAGGATTAAAAGCACAAGTTTAACTCAAAAACATAACCAAATCATAAGCTAGAAGGGTACAAAATGATATACAATTATGAACCGATCAGGCGTCACCTTGTTTTTGTTCCTTCGATGGGAGTAAGATCAAAATAGCATTAAATTTGTGATCGACAATAAGTTACTAAAAAAATAAATCAATTTCGGTTTGTTGCCACTGAAACGTAGGTAAAATTTCGGTAATAAACCACTGAACAACGTTCCATATTACAGTGGATCTCCACTGAATATTAAGTTGATGATCGGTCAAATACGACCGAATTAGGTGCAAAGTTTCGGTGGCATCCCACCGAATTTACCTATCGCGTTCGGTACTGATGTGCTGAACGCAAACAGCGACCAACCCTAAACCCTAAACTTGCAAAATGCCAAAAAATAAACTCATACCTCATTCAAAGTCTCTCTAACTCACCCTTCATGAATAAATGCAAGATATTTTTTCACCAATATAAACGTATAAATCTCGTTAAAGTTGTAGGAACATGATGGTTTGAGAAAAAAGTCAAACTAGGATTGTATGAACATATGTGGCGTGTTGTGAGTAATTTAATTTTTAATTTTTAATTTTTTTATCCTTAACGGTAATTATGTACAATGGTAAAATAAGTTATTCATGTTTAAAATTATTATAGGGTGTAAAGAGCAAAAAATGGGATGCCAATAGAATTTCCCTTATTTTTAACCATCCTTGCTAGTAACTCTATAGAATGAAAGAAATTATAATCCACTTTGTTGAGCCTAGAGACGTAAAAAATTTTAGGACATAAAAACAAGTCTTCTGCAAATTTTTCTTAAGCACATTCAACCATTGCAAAATAGAGGCACAACATCTTGGAGACCCATTCTACTTACCTAACCAGGAACATGCCTCAGTTCCAGTTCCGGGTATAAAACGAAACAAAATTTTAATGGTTTCTTCAGCATTGTATAATGAATGCAAAATCTCCACTGAGAAGAATTTCAAGCAAAGCACCACCATCAATATAGAACTCAGAAAGGAGACGTCTATATTATATTAACAAACCATTTGCAGCAGAGTTCATGAACGTGAGCAAAGCAACAACATTATAAGCAATTTACTTAGTGAAACTATGGGCATTGCCCGTTAAACTAGGAACAGAGAAAGCCTATATATCCGTTCCTTCAGGTGTGCGACAAAGCAACCCACTTTTCATCACTCGTGGGCAGCACAGTGTTTCCCTCAGGAAATTTCATATCTGACTTGTATGGATAAACAGAAACCTTGTTATACATAATCCTTTTAGCTGGTGGCTCAAGAGTAGAGTCCATAGCTAAGTTAGTGGAGGCATCAGAAGGCAAAGTTGAAGAAGAGCCATTTCGGGACACAGAGAGGCTAGAACTGTTTGACTCCTGCGCACGGCCATACAGAATGTCAGAAGACGAGAATCCACTGCTTGTCATAAGACCATCAGGATGATGACTGTTCCCTTCTGCAGTTACTGCCAACAAAGAAGATAAGGCAACATTAAGCTCTATGTAATACAGTATTATTTTTATGGAGTATATAAAAAAAGAAGGGGGAGGATGTCCGAATATCAACATCTACTTTTATCAATCTTCATACCGTATTTCAATTCTGAGCTAAACCTGTGCAGAAATGATGCCATGATTTTCTGTGATGGGTGTGGGCTCTTCTATATATATATATATATATATATATATACATCTTTGTGTCAACAGGAGAAAATAAGGATGATCCTTTATATTAAGAAACTGAATTTTTAGTGAGAAGTACTGAACTACAAAGTCAACAGAGGGCACTTCACTTTGTAGCTAAGTAATAATACCTCTTACAGCACTGATTTAAAGAGAGATAGACGTTGTAAATGCGATACTATCACCAGACATCGAAATGAGAGATTGAAATACCACTTCTGATGCAGTGAGGAAGGTTCTACTTTAGTGCTGTCTTTCATAGTCTAATTTCCAGGTACATCATGTTCTTTTTTAAGGAATTTACACATTTTAACACATTTTATGAACTCCATAGGGAATTTGCTTTTCTGTTGGCTTTTACTTTTATTAGCTTTCACCAATTGATGCTTGTTTGCATCTGAGCACTTCATGCCATAGCAGTTTCAAAGTGTACATATGTATCCCAAAATCTTGAGTCTACACTCAATAACTCAGTTTTCTGGAATTATATTTTCAGCATCTATACTTGACAGTGATGCATACCACATGTTGTTGAATAAACTGTATATAATTTGAACCTTTTCTTAACTCCAAAACAATAGTTTGAATGAATGAGAGACAGACTGGAACATTCTTTGTGAGTGAAGTTATATGGAACAAATATATCAGATAAAGAACGTCAAAAAAATATATCAATTAAGCAAAAGGTAGATATTAATATTTTCACAACACAAATTCAAGTTGAGGGATAAAAAGAGTAGTTGCCTATTCTCCTTATAACCAGAGCTCCTTTAGACATTTGAAAGCTTGGTTTAAAAATATGTCATCTCTAGCTATCTGTTTAAGACATCCTGTTATATCTTAGATGTAACCATATATGCTCGAATATATTGTACATCTTTCTGTTAAAAATCATATCATCATATTGATATAGTGCCTGGATTTAAAAGAATTTAACAATAAAGGACATGATCCCAACAAAGACATTACAAGACATTAAGGCAACGATAGTATAGAAATAGGCTTTAGGAAAACAAAAGAGCTTATAGGGGAAAAACAATACCACTATTCTCCATCATCTGTTCCCCAGTAATCGCACTCGGACTTACGATCATGGTGGCGTTAGGCCTGCCTTGTTGTAAATCAGTAGCTAGGTTTGACTGAAAGCTTGAAGATAAGATCTCTGGCGTTTCTAGCCCCTTCTGAGCAGGGGGGCAGACCAAAGGGATCTTACTTGATTTACCTGAATGAGTGTGAGGATGTGTAAGTTTTTATTTCCCTAGATCATCAGATATTATTTTTGAATTAAAAAGGTCTTACCATGCACATCATGTGATGGCATTATTTCATAAAATAATTACTGAAAATAAACATGAAAATGAAAGAACTCCATAAACCTATAGGAAATATATCGCATGAACTTTGACTAACAAATGAATTGAGGAAACAAATTTACATAAATGATGATATTAAGTTTTATTTTATTTTATAAGAAATACAACTTTATGAGATAAAATAATAGAAGAAACTTAATCTCTTTTAGGCACTTACACTTCCAAAAAGACAATATCCTAATAACTTACAAAGAGTATAAATACCCTAGGGTTAAACACAAATTTGGAGCTAGTAAGTTGAAGAAAAATACTCTTACGCTCTCTCAAGGTATGGTACGCAACCTTTGCCGCACTCATCTCTGCCTGCTTCTTGCTTCTTGCTTCTGAACCTGTAAAAGTTTCTCCTTCTATCTCCACAGTTGAAACAAAAATTGGCACATGAACTTTGCCAAAATTCTTTGTGCTATAGACTGGCATAGAAAAACCTTCTTTCTGGATTAATTCTTGTAAAACGTTTTTGTATAAACCGATATAATCCTAGGGTAGGAAAAAGAGAAACACAAAGACACGAGATATATTTAGAGATGCTCCATACTATCAGAATATGGGAAAATTATGCAGAGAATATAAATAAAATTGGCCACCTCTTGTATTCCATTTGGCAACAGGGACATCAAAGCAATTTTTGCAACTGCATGTTCAGCTTCCTTCATTGTAGGAAGAAACTCTTGACCCTCATAGGTATGTTCATCAACAGTTACCCTACACTTGAAACGACTGGCATGAGGCGGACCTTCCCACTCACAAGTGTACATAGGTAGAAGAAGATTTCTCTTTTGTGCGTAAGTCTGCAGTTGGCTCTTGTACAAATGCTGTATATCTACACCCAATATTGAAAGATTATAAGTTGTGTGTCATTCAATAACTTTTCGATAATCAAGACAAAGTTAAAACTATGCGCAGATGATAGAGAGTTGAAGGCATTATATACTTTAAGTGCCATTTCTTTTTCACATATCCTTCAAACCCTGAGTATAATTTCAACAGTTTCTAAAAAGGCTAGCTCTACTATTAAGATGAAATTTTTTATTTGGGGGCTCAGTTCCTCCAATCATTAATAGCAAAGAGAATGTGTCCAGAGAAAATTTTCTAACCTCTCAATCGATTACCATCTTCAATAACCAATGTGCTGCCATTCGCCTGAGATTTGCCACATGATGCTATACCACTGAACTGAACTGGCACGAAAGAAGTTTCATGTGTTTCTTGATTCTTTGGTTGCAATGTCTGTTCTGTGTAATGTGTACCAGTCAAATTGGTGCCCGCTGTTGAAGGAAGTGCTGGAATAATACAACCCAAAAGATACATGAACAGATTCTTATAAGATCACATCAAGACAGAGAGTTTAAGGCATTATATACTTTATGTGCCATTTCTTTTTCAAATATCCTTCAAACTCCGAGTATAATTTCAACAGTTTCTAAAAGCTAGCTCTACTATTAAGATGAAAATTTTTATTTGGGGGCTCAGTTCCTCCAATCATTAATAGTAAAGAGAATGTGTCCATAGAAAATTTTCTAACCTCTCAATCGATTAACATCTTCAATACCCAATGTGCTGCCATTCGCCTGAGAATTGCCACTTGATGCTATACCACTGAACTGAACTGGCACGTAATGTGTTTCTTGAATCTTTGGTTGCAATGTCTGTTTTGTGTCATGTGTACCAGTCAAATTGGTGCCCGCTGTTGAAGGAAGTGCTGGAATAATACAACCCACAAGATACATGAACTGATTCTTATAAGATCACATCAATACAAAGAGTTGAAGGCATTATATACTTTATGTGCCATTTCTTTTTCACATATCCTTCAAACTCTGAGTATAATTTCAACAGTTTCTAAAAAAGCTAGCTCTACTATTAAGATTAAAAAATTTATTTGGGGGCTCAGTTCCTACAATCATTAATAGTAAAGAGAATGTGTCCAGAGAAAATTTTTAACCTCTCAATTGATTACCATCTTCAATACCCAACGTGCTGCCATTCGCCTGAGAATTGCCACCTGATGCTATACCACTGAACTGAACTGGCACATAAGAAGTTTCATGTGTTTCTTGAATCTCTGGTTGCAAAGTCTGTTGTGTGTCATGTGTATCAGGCAAATTGGCACCCGTTGTTGAAGGAAGTGCTGGAATAATACAACCCATAAGATACATGAACAGATTCTTATAAGTTCACATCAAGACAGAGAGTTTAAGGCATTATAAACTTTATGTGCTATTTCTTTTTCACATATCCTTCAAACTCCGAGTATAATTTCACCAGTTCCTAAAAAAGGCTAGCTCTACTATCAAGATGAAAAATTTTATTTGGGGGCTCACTTCGTCCAATCATTAATAGTAAAGAGAATGTGTCCAGAGAAAATTTTCTAACCTCTCAATCGATTACCATCTTCAATACCCAATGTGCTGCCATTCGCCTGAGAATTGCCACATGATGCTATACCACTGAACTGAACTGGCACGTAAGAAGTTTCATGTGTTTCTTGAGTCTTTGGTTGCAATGTCTGTTTTGTGTCATGTGTACCAGTCAAATTGGTGCCCGCTGTTGAAGGAAGTGCTGGAATAATACAACCCATAAGATACATGAATTGATTCTTGTAAGATCACATCAAGACAGAGAGTTTAAGGCATTATATACTTTATGTGCCATTTCTTTTTCACATATCCTTCAAACCCCGAGTATAATTTCAACAGTTTCTAAAAAAGCTAGCTCTACTATTAAGATTAAAAAATTTATTTGGGGGCTCAGTTCCTACAATCATTAATAGTAAAGAGAATGTGTGCAGAGAAAATTTTTAACCTCTCAATCGATTACCATCTTCAATACCCAATGTGCTGCCATTCGCCTGAGAATTGCCACCTGATGCTATACCACTGAACTGAACTGGCATGTAAGAAGTTTCATGTGCTTCTTGAATCTTTGGTTGCAATGTCTGTTTTGTGTTATGTGTATCAGGCAAATTGGCGCCCGTTGTTGAAGGAAGCGCTGGAATAATACAACCCATAAGATAAATGAACTGATTCTTATAAGATCGCATCAAGACAGAGAGTTTAAGGCATTATATACTTTATGTGCCATTTCTTTTTCACATATCCTTCAAACTCTGAGTATAATTTCAACAGTTTCTAAAAAAGCTAGCTCTACTATTAAGATTAAAAAAATTATTTGGGGGCTCAGTTCCTACAATCATTAATAGTAAAGAGAATGTGTCCAGAGAAAATTTTTAACCTCTCAATCGATTACCATCTTCAATACCCAATGTGCTGCCATTTGCCTGAAAATTGCCACCTGATGCTATACTACTGAACTGAACTGGCACGTAAGAAGTTTCATGTGTTTCTTGAACCTCTGGTTGCAATGTCTGTTGTGTGTCATGTGTATCAGGCAAATTGGCACCCGTTGTTGAAGGAAGTGCTGGAATAATACAACCCATAAGATACATGAACAGATTCTTATAAGATCACATCAAGATAGAGAGTTGAAGGCATTATATACTTTATGTGCTATTTCTTTTTCACATATCGTTCAAACTCTGAGTATAATTTCACCAGTTCCTAAAAAAAGCTAGCTCTACTACCAAGATGAAAAATTTTATTTGGGGGCTCACTTCCTCCAATCAATAATAGTAAACAGAATGTGTCCAGAGAAAATTTTCTAACCTCTCAATCGATTACCATCTTCAATATCCAATGTGCTGCCATTCGCCTGAGAATTGCCACATGATGCTATACCACTAAACTGAACTGGCACGTAAGAAGTTTCATGTGTTTCTTGAATCTTTGGTTGCAATGTCTGTTTTGTGTCATGTGTACCAGTCAAATTGGTGGCCGCTGTTGAAGGAAGTGCTGGAATAATACAACCCATAAGATACATGAACTGATTCTTATAAGATCACATCAAGACAGAGAGTTTAAGGCATTATATACTTTATGTTCTATTTCTTTTTTACATATCCTTCAAACCCCGAGTATAATTTGAACAGTTTCTAAAAAAGCTAGCTCTACTATTAAGATTAAAAAATTTATTTGGGTGCTCAGTTCCTACAATCATTAATAGTAAAGAGAATGTGTGCAGAGAAAATTTTTAACCTCTCAATCGATTACCATCTTCAATACCCAATGTGCTGCCATTCGCCTGAGAATTGCCACCTGATGCTATACCACTGAACTGAACTGGCATGTAAGAAATTTCATGTGCTTCTTGAATCTCTGGTTGCAATGTTTGCTTTGTGACATGTGTATCAGGCAAATTGGCCCCCGTTGTTGAAGGAAGTGCTGGAATAATACAACCCATAAGATACATGAACTGATTCTTATAAGATCGCATCAAGACAGAGAGTTTAAGGCATTATATACTTTATGTTCTATTTCTTTTTTACATGTCCTTCAAACCCCGAGTATAATTTCAACAGTTTCTAAAAAAGCTAGCTCTACTATTAAGATTAAAAAATTTATTTGGGGGCTCAGTTCCTACAATCATTAATAGTAAAGAGAATGTGTCCAGAGAAATTTTTTAACCTCTCAATCGATTACCATCTTCAATACCCAATGTGCTGCCATTTGCCTGAAAATTGCCACCTGATGCTATACCACTGAACTGAACTGGCACGTAAGAAGTTTCATGTGTTTCTTGAATCTCTGGTTGCAATGTCTGTTTTGTGTCATGTGTATCAGTCAAATTGGTGCCCGCTGTTGAAGGAAGTGCTGGAATAATACAACCCAGAAGATACATGAACTGATTCTTTTAAGATCACATCAAGACAAAATTATTGAACCCAAATAGAGAGCCCAAATATCCAATGCTCAGGAGAAAAAGAAAAGAGAAAATGATCCGTTATAAATTAAAGTAACATAGAAAAGAATAAAACACAAGAAATTTATTTCCAATCAGCTACCAAACAGAGGATTAGATAGAAAAACATCAATAAAAATAAGAAATAACAACTTAAAGCAACCAAACAGACCATAAAGATTAAAGTTAAAACCTTAAAACCCTTTTACCTGAGGAAGCGGGAAGAGAAGGTTGAGGGAATGAGGAAGTGCTGGGACTGCGATTGGTATGTCTGGGTTGCGGATCAGAGAAGTGAGCGAAGGCAAGTCTAGCGGCGTCGTTTTGGGCTTCCTTGGAGGACCTGAAGAGTTGTACTGTGTCGAAGGCGACGCCGTTTATGGTGACGGAGGCTGAGAAGCGAGGGTTGTGGTCGATCCCAAGCTTTTTGGCGTTGTACTCGGGCAAGCGCCATTTCCTCTGCTGGCACAGCTCCTGCAGCTTCGACTTGTACATCCTCTCTCTTTTGGTGTGTTGATCAATTGATGATACAATGGTTGTTGCTCTGTTTTGGGAAATTTGAAGAAGATGGAGATGGTCTAGGTTGGGCTACTATCACTTTTTTTTCCTTTTTGAAGAGATTGTTCAGTACTCTGCGATTTATCTGAAAACAAATATTAGTTCGTTGCATTAAATAAATTTACGTGTGAATGAATAAATGTGACACAAATTAATAGGGGAAATAAATATAAAAATAAATAAAAATAGCTTAGCACTCCTCCAATTTATATTCTTAACGTGTATTCTTCTCCAAATGAATAGAGTACATCAACTTCTCCGACAAGGAAAGAATTATACTATAAATCCTAATTACAATTGAGTAAGTAATTACAAATTGATCAACTTATAAATTATAGGGTGCATTTTTGCTCACCACTTTAACCATAGGTGTACCCTCACCACCATCCTCAATGCTTGACACGTGTCCATAGACATAACCATAGTTAACTTTTGCTTTGTATTTATGGAATCATGATTATACCTATGGACACGTGTCAAGCATTGAGGATAGTGGTGAGGGTACACCTATGATTAAAGTGGTGAGCAAAAATGCTCCCGTCCAATTCGATCTAGTTCTCAGCCAAATCTAAAACCAAAAATGTATTTTTCATCCGGTCTGGTTCTGATGAAAACTAATTACTAAACTAAACCAATTCAAATTCCGATCCCGGTTTAGACTGGCAAACAAGCCCAGCTGAGTTTTTTTTTCTTCGTTTTTTTGGGATTTTTCAAGCTTCAAGCCCAAATACATGTTTTCAAATTTTGAGCTTAAAGAGTCAGTTCGTTCAATTTCTATGCAATCAACCCAAATAGAATACATCAAACAATTTAATTTTACATCCCAACAAGAAACAAATACATAATAAATCATATTTAATTACAACCGAATTACTAGAAAATAATATTCAATTGCTCATCTTTTTTAGAAAAATTTCCCTGCTTTTGCCCTTGCTTCACAAAAACTTCATTGAATAGAATCAACACATTAAATGAGCGATACATAAAAGGCGACAACACAAACTTGCTACCAAAAATAAATATGAAAAAGAGAAAATAAATGAGGAGGAATAGGTGAAACCTAAAGTAAGTAAAATAACATGAAAAGAAACCCATAAATGAGGATTAGAAAAAGAAGAAGAAAAACACCATCTGCGCAAGGGATGAGAGAGATAAGAGACCAAAAAGTCAACAACCATTGAAAAATTGAACCAGACCGGTTTTGATTGGTTCAGGTTTCGATTTGACACTCCTAAAAATCGAATCAGGCTGAACCAGACCAACTTAAACATATATATTATTTATTTTATTTATTTATATAAAATTAACCCAAGCCCAATTTATTCTCCAAGCCTAATCCTCCTTCAAGCTCAAGTTTTCTTCCAAGCCTTTCAAGCCCAACTTTTCTTCCAAGGCTTTCGAGCCCAGCTTTTCTTCCAAGACTTTCAAGCCCAACTCCAAGCCCTTTTTATGCTTTTTGGTCTAAGATTCCAATCATTAATAAACTCACCCAACATTTTCCAAATGCTAGTTGCAACATTCATTTTTCGGTTTGTTTTGGCCTGATTTGGTTCGGTTGGCCGATTCTTCGATTTGAATGCCCACCCTTGCATAGATATCTCCAATACCCAACTTGTCAAGTGAGTCATAAAACACCTTACTTGAAACTGCTTTAGTCAGAATATCGGCTAGTTGATTCTTTAAATTCACAAAAGGCATGGAAGCAGTACAAATACATCGTGTGCATCCCCGAGAGTTGGGTTATGTTTCTTGAAAGGATGGATACATCAAGCTAGTGAAACTAGCAGAAGGAGGAGAGGGAAGCAAGAAGTTTGTAGCATGGAAGGAGGAGTAGAGAGAAGCACCAAGTGTCTAGTATATTAATATGTTGTTATTCAAAGGTATTTAGTATATTAATATGTTGTTATTCAAAGATTGAACTCTAGAATGACTAAGTTGACTAGAAAAGTCGACAAAGGTGTCAAAAGGAACGGGTCGGTGCCAGTACAGCATGAGCCTGACCTAATTAAAAAAGGCCCGACACGAGCCCGAGTAAAGTTGGGCCAGCCACGGCCCAACCCTTTTAGTTTTAATTGGTGTAAAAACACTAATGTATCCATGTATTAATTAGCGTAAATTCATTCTTGCTACTTGAATTTATATAATTCTATTATCCTTTTGTATATGCAAAGGTAGCATATACCTTAAGACCCTAAACCCTAAATGAGGGTGGCACGAGGTGAGTGTTTTCATGGGAATTTATAATTTATGTTGGATAACTTTGTAATTTTGTTTTATGACTTTTGCATCTTGAGGAGGTACATAGCTCGACTATGTTCCTAGAAAGGATGGATATACCAAGTGAGTGAGACTAGAGGGCGGAGGAGAGGGAAGCAAGAAGGTTGTTGCATGGAATGAGGAGTTGAGGGAAGCACCAAGTTTTTAGTATATTAATATGTTGTTATTCAAAGAAGGAGGAGTACAATTAGTATTCGGTGTTGGTATCTACAAAGACTAAACTGATTAGCAAAGTTGGCAGAGGTGTCAAACGGAACGGGTCGGCGTTAGTACAGCATGAGCCTGACCCAATTAAGTATGGCTCAGCCTGACATGAGCCTGAGTAAAGTCACGCTTGACACTGCTCCACCTGTTTAGTATTAATTGGTGTAAGGGGACTAATGTATCCGTGTATTAATTAGTGTAAATTCTTTCTTGCTACTTGAATTTATGTAACTCTATTATCCTCGATACATGCAAACACAGCATATACCAATAGACTTGATCTATTGCAGCTTTAAATTATTCATTATGATATTAGTTTTGTTTGTTGTCTCCACAAATGACGTGTAGATCGATTAGAATCATAAAAGTGTGCTTAGCGGTTAACTAAATTCGAATTAGATGATAAGGTGGTGAAAAAATGCAAAGATGAGTTTAAGGTGTCACATAAGAAACTTCAATTTATCGACTGTCTACGTGGAGTCTCTAGACATGCACGATATAGCTAAATTGAGGAACCCATAAGCTTACTTCCCGATCGCAGACATTCTTCACAATAGGATGTGGAAGCAATGCAAGTGTAAAACAATAGATGCTCAAGCGAATGTTGATGAGCTTTGCATACCATCTAACACGATGGAGCAGCCATATTTAAATTGATCTGTTCAACTAAAACCCAATACATAGATTACAGCCAATCCCTATTTACAAGGAAACCAATCCATACATTTGAAAAACAAAATAAAACCTATCTCAACACAATTTAAAGAAGTCCCAACAGACTATGACTTCTTATCCACATCAAGTAAACATTTTGAATTTGAATGCTCAGATAACATCTATCTAACATCCCCCCGCAAGCTAATAGGCCGTTGAAGAACTGGAAACTTGGAAACCAAGTAAGTAAAACGCATCGTGGACAAGCCTTTGGTAAACATATTAGCAATATGATATTGAGAACAAACAAAATGAACAAGCGGTTCACCATGAGTGACTTTTTCACGCACGAACATAGTGATAATCAACCTCCAAATGTTTGGTTCTAGAATGGAAGACAGGATTGGAAGCCATGGCAAGCGAGGACACAATGTCACGCCAATCTTTCATGGAAAAGGAAGTACCAAGCCGCTGAATAAGAAGAGAAACTTGAGACTGATTATTACTTGTTACGAGGATGTCATCAACGTAGATTAGCAAGATTAAAAAAACACATTCTCTGATTATATACAAAAAGAGAGTAGTCACATTTGGATTCTTGGAAACCAAGCTCTAGCAAATAATCAAAAAAACGTTGAAACCAAGCCCTGGGCGCGCTTTAATCCATAAAGACTTCACTACAATTTACACACATGGTGTAATTGAGAACCAACAAAACCTAACGGTTGACGCATGTATACAACCTCGACAAGATAGCCATACAAGAAAGCATTTTGAACATCTAATTGGCACACAGGCCACCGATTGGAAACAGCCAAACTCAAAACCAACCGAATAGTGCTATGTTTAACGACAGGACTAAAGGTCTTGGTGTAATCAACACCTTCCTTTTGGTGAAAACCGTTGGCAACCAATCTTGCTTTATACCATTCAATTGAACCATTGGACTTCCTTTTATTCTTAAATACCCACTTGTTGGGCAGCAAATTCATACTGGATGTACACGGGACAAGGGTCCAAGTCCCATTTCTTTGCAAGGCACTGGATTATTGATTCATAGCTTGTCGCCATTCCTCTTGTTTCACGGCTTGACTGAAGTAAGATGGCTCACTATATTGAGTGTCAATCGTAGCAGTTAGGGCATATTTAGGATTGGGCTGGCGAACTCCTAGTTGAGATCTTGTCACCATGCGTAAAGGCATTGGAGGAGGTGATGAGGAAGGCGCAGCAACAACATCAAGGGAAACAACATCTTCAAGCACATGATCATCCTGGACAGTTAACACAGATTCTTGCACAATTGTGATATCATTTGGTTCAGGTGGAGGTTGGGTGGGATTATTTAATGGTGGTGAAGCAGGAGGTCCTCACAAGCGCATAGGAATTTGCGGATCTCAATTTGGATAACGTTTGAACCCCGAACGGATCTCGCATATTGTGCGATTTTCGGGTTCAATACGTTCATACAAACTGGAGTATGTTGATCTAGGTAATTTCATAATCGTGTAGGATTCGACGGAACGTGAATCAGAGTCCCGAATACTCCGAAAAGGCCAACCCTAGGGTTAGTATTACGGAAAATCGTTCGTCTGTTCGATTGTGCGATCGTGAGCAACCCGATCATCCGATCGAGACCAAACTCTCGAGACATGTGTCCTAGGCATATTGGAACCTCTAGGAACAATCGAATCGGAATTTGGAGGTCGTGGACCCCATGGGGTCCTAGGTTGACTTTTCAAGACTTTATCGCTTTTGAGTCCTGAGTTACTTCTAAATCATGCCCTTTGAGAGAAAAGCTAATGTGGGCATAGGAATGACCTTTAAAAGGATGCACGCACTTTTAGGAGCTGGGGGTCAGGGTTTTTTTTATTTAATATTATTTTATTAAGCAGATTTATTAATAAAATATTATGATGGTTATTCAGGCACCCGAGCACCAGTTGACCTGCGGGAGGGACCTTCAAAAGGTCCAGCTAGCACGAA